TGGCAAATAGGGACCCAATAAATATATTTGTTGAATAAATGAATGAATAAATCTTCCCTCAATTTCAGGTCATCTCTCCCCTCTTTTGTAGCTTCTGAACCTTTACAGTGAGAGAAAATGTCCAGAGAACAATGTTCAGTATGCTGAGGGACTTCCAAACAGATGCAACAGGAGGCAGGGCTGTGAAGATGGGCTCTCATACTCTGAAAGTAAATAGTTGTGGTGACATAATTATGTTTCAATGATACGTGAATAACTGATAACTGGAAGAGAATTATACTTGTGGTATATATGGGATGTATAGATACAGGGATGTATAGATAGAAGGCAGATTTAGGGTCAACGTAAGAAAACATTCCAACAAAGCTCTCCAAATATAACACAGGCTGGTTTGCGTGGTAATGAACTTGCCATCACTAAAAGTACAAAAACTGAGACAGAATGGCCATGTATTATTGATATTACAAAAAGGAATCTTCACTCCTGAATAAGGAAAAAGGTTTGGTTATTGAGAAACCTTCAGAGATTTCTTTAGAGAAACCTGTCAGAGAAAACACTGAGATTCTTTGATCCAATGACTCCACGACACCTTCATACCATCAATTTAAAAGAGCTGATAATATGTCCCAGTTATTTCTAGCATCTATTGAACAACCCGATCCTGTCAGCCATTGATAACAGTCACCATCAACACAGCGGTACAGAGGAAAGAGCAGAGACGCTGAAGGAAGGAGGACTCGGGTTCAAATTCTCGCTCTGCTGGCTTTGTGACCTTGGTCAGTAAACTAACCAACACGAACTCAAACTTCCTCTTCTGAAAAGGGGGCTATATCTGCTTCCCTGGGGAATAAAGACTAAATGAGAAACAAAACTAAAGACCCTGGAACACGGTAGGGCAATGTTCGTTCCAGTTAGGATCTAATTTCATCTGTCTATATTATCATCCATATCTCTATATTGTTGGCATACGTGGTCTAACTTTCAAACCCATAATTGCACTGCTTTGAGTGAATATGAGGCAATTGTCAAAGAGAAAAAGTGACAGAGAAACAGAGAGAAAGATGACAGCTGCTTCTGAGACCGGACGTAAAATGCAAATGCAAACATTTATAGAGCAACTACTATGTGTCAGTCCCTGAGAATACAAAAATTCTCCTAAGAAGGCCATATTGAAGAAGGGAAGACAGACCTATAACCATGGAGCTGTAAAGCAGGACAAACAGGGACATAATCTAAAAATAGAGCTTCAGATAAAGTTATAGAGAAAATCAAGGGAGAAAGAGATTAATTCCCAAATAAGGTCTTGAGAAGACTTCTTTGCAGGGCCATGTCAGCTAGCTGTTGAAATATGGATAGGATTTTAAAAAGTGAAGGCTGAAGATAAGAAGTGGAGGAACGAATGATAAAGATATTCCTCACGGAAGGGTTAGAATGGAAAACAATTGGAAGAATTATTGGAAAAGCGACATTTGAGGACTTGCCTTCTTCATATCACCCCCATCTTGTCTTCAGCATGGTTACCAGTAGTTCAGTAGCCAGTTAGTCAAGCTTTGTATTTGAGCAAAAGGGAAACAGGAAGAGAAGAATGGTGGGGTATGTCTAACCCTGAAGGCCTGTTCAGGTGACATGTACTGGTCATTTCATCTAAGAAATTGGGAGGGGAAAAGAGAGGATGCAAATAAAAAAAAAAAAAATGTCCGCTCACACAACTGAAGGTCCTTTGGGCAAAGACTTTTCAGAGAAACAGAGTACTCTCTGGTCAATAACATAAACTACTGCAAGCACTAAGAAAGAGATGCCTTATTGGAACAGGACAGGGGAGGGTGTTTTAGCAGTCCCGTCTGTACCGCTGCAAAGAGATTCATTGCAGCTTGAGCTGGGCAGTCGAAACTCAACCAGGGTCCAACAGCTGATTTGGAATGTCTCGGAACTGTTTCTCCTTAGTTGAAATGGAGTCACAGCTCCCCCTTCTGGGAGCTAACGTGCCATCCAGCCCCGGAAAAGCCTGCATGGAAAAGGCTCCACTGCAGATGGGCCTAAAACCCCCATGTTTCTCAGTATTTGCCGGCAGCCCGAAACAAGCATGCAGTAGTCTGGGAGGACACTTTTAAGTGAGCCCTATTCTGAATTCTCAAGGGCCTTTTGTTCACAGGGCTTTACATTTCCCCTTTCCAGGAGCTATGAGTCCCAGTCTTCTGATGAGATACTTTATACTGGGGAGCACAATTTGGTGCAGAGGTTCTCTTTTTGGGGAATATAGCAAAGCAGGAAAGGTTTCTAGATCTGTGTGAGCACTGTGTGTATGAGTGCATGCATGCATGTATGTTTGCCTCTGACCCTATGTCTGCAATATGTATAAATGTAGAGGGATGAGATTCTAATCAATATAAAAATTAATTTGCCTGAAGTATTTGCATAGGTGGGTGGGTGTATATTTTACTTTCTAAAAAGTAAGCTTGATAAAGAGCTCAGATACAGCCCAGATGTGTTGCTGGGTTCTGTCTACCAGTTATACTGGGTCCCTGCTTGTGGGTAATTCTCTGAAAACACTGGAGAAACAATCTGTGTGCTCTCTCTCTCTCTCTCTCTGTCTCTCTGTCTCTCTGTCTCTGTCTCTCTGTGTGTCGTGCGTGTGTCTAGTGGGGAGTGTGATTGAGACACCGGACTCTTTATGGGGTCCTTTCTAGATGGAGAAGCTTTGAAATGTATCTCCGAAATGAGAAGTTTGATAAGGGAAGACAAGTGATTGCCTTGGGTGGGATCATAGTCGGGGTGGGGAGCAATATGTGGTTTCCATGCAGTGTGGTAGTGTGGGAAGGGCATAGATCTAGACTTCAGGAAATCTCGGTTCTAGTCCTGGCTATGCCACCAACTCACTAAAGAATGTTGGAAATTCTCATCCTTTTTCTGGGCCAGAGTCCTGCCTTTCTGCTCTTTAATATTCCTCCCAGTTTCGATCGTCTATGAATTGGAAAAGAGAAAATGAGAGCAGTTCCCAAGATGGGGTTTCCTCCTCTGCCTTCACACACCCTGTCCAAAATGAACTAGAGAGCTCTGCTCTGACATGAGTTTCCCAAGGAGAGTCTCTGTGTCTGTGTGAAGGCTTCAGCCTGAGGTTTCAGCCTCTGGCCAGAGAATGGTATGTCTGCAAGTGCCTACAGGTAGAACCCACCAGCCAGGGCAGGCTCCTGAAAACACATGTTTGCTTTTATCTTTCCCCAGAAGAATATATCCCAAGTATCTTTCTACTTTTTCCCCCAAGAGGCCTTTTTAGTGGTCCCCTCAAGCTGAGGTAGACAAGAAGCTGTGTCTCAGCCTCACAGCCCTTGTCTTCTAGCCTCCCTGCCTGAGAGCAGAGCGGCTGCCGCTTACCTTGAGAAAGTAACAGCTGCCGAGTCTGGAAGCCATGCTAACAGCAGTAAAACTCAGCATTTTTGCTGAGTAGGGCAAGCCTTTAAGAGGCAGCCGGGAATCAAATCAATGGCTGGCCCCAGAGCCCAAGCCCAGCAGTACCTAGCCAGGGTGGCCAAGGGACTTACCTATAGAGCCTCCTAGCAGGTGGAGGGAAGAGGAAAGAGGGCCTTGGCCCAAACTGTCTTCCTTACTGAGATTTTTCCCAAGGCCCTCCTGCCCTTGGCAGTATTTTGGAGCCGAGCAAGAGATGTGAGGTACAAATCGACAAGTCAATTACTGCCACATTCTGTCGTGAGTTCCTCACTCAAATCCCCTTTGCAAATTGTAGGTCTTCCTCAGTAGTCAAACACACACACACACACTCACACGCACACACATATGCACACACATGCACACACGTCACCTCTGTGCCTCCTCCCAGGATCCTCCTAACTCCAGTGGAGCCATGGGGAGGTACGTTCAGGAAGAGATTCTCTGGGGGCTTCCCGGACTGAAATGGGGAAGGAAAGAGGAGTCTGCCTTAGGGAAGTGGCCCATCCATCTCCTTCCATATCACCCAGCGCTGCCCCCAAATGAAATCCCCTCTGAGCCCCTGTGCAACTGCGATGGATGGGCAAGTCCCTGAGGTCGCTTTCTCCTTTCCTTGGAGGGGGATCCACGCAAACTTGCCCAGATCCTCCCCCAAAGCAACAGAAGCAGGAGGTGCTGTGATGATTACACACGGAGAAGCAGGGCCAGGGCCGGTCTCTATCTCAGACTTGCCAAGACCCAGAGCAGGAACCCACCGCGGACTTCCCCCTTTCTCTGCCACCCACTACCCAATGTCTCCAAATTCCCATCAGAATCCTGGAGTCTGCCCAATGCAGAATTTAAAGTGACAGCGTCTCATTTGCCTCGGGGTTTGGTCATTTCTGTGTCATGTTAAACGGTGGGTCCAAGTGTAGCTGGACTCCATCGTTTGGAGGAATTTTCCTTCAAGGATACCAACATTGGGCTAAATAAAGTGTCATCGATAGCCCCATAAGCCTCCCCAAACCCTAAGCCCAAAGCCCCAAGAGGAAGTCCACAGCGGGTTTCCCGATGGCTACGTGATCCGATAGTAAGGATCCCATTCCTTGTAAGCTAGAGAGACCTAATTAAAAAGACACACAAGCGCACACATGCAAACACATACGTACAAACATGCACAAACACATCGCGCCGTAAGTAGGTTATAGGACCTCTCTGTTCTCCCCCTCTCCGATACACACACACACACACACACACCCCAAACACACGCATCAAACGCAAACGACGTCGCACACGCAAACACACACTAGCACCACATCAAGTTCCCACCATGGTACACACGTCGGGAGCGCGCCGGGGCACACACGCCACTTACTAAAACCCGCATTTAACCCTTTGAGCCCCAGGTACAAGAGCCCCCTCCCCGGAACCTGAGAGGACTTGGAGGTGGCAGCGCAGCCGGGTGAAGAGTGGCCGAGGGTGCCGGGAGGGGGAGGGGCGGGGGCGCCCCGAATGCGGTCCGGGGCCGGCTCCAAGGGCAGCGGGGCTGCCGGGCGCTGCACCCGGCGCCGCCTTACCTGGAGTCAGTGTCCGTCTTTGGCAGAGAGCTGCGGGCGGACGCTTTTTATTCGGCTCGGGGGGAACTTGGGAGAGCCCTGCGTCCAGCTCGCATACCGGGGACGGCGCGAGGACTGCAGGCGTGGGGGTACCTGGCTCCTAGCAGCCTGGCTCATACTCAGCCGTAAAGTCCCCTTGGCTGGTCCCGAGGACAGGCATGAATCCCGGCTCCGGAAGGCGGTCACTACTCCCTCTGCCTCCCGGCTCTGTCGCTCTCTGGCTCTCTGGCTCGCTCTCCCTCTCTCGCGGGTTCGCTCGCCTGCGCTCTCCTCCTCCCCCCGCGCCAGATCAGTTTGCAGCCGTGGGGACCGGGAGCGAGGCGGCTGGCGAATGGAGAGGGAAGTCCAAGTGCGCCGCGGTCTCCGGGCGGGGAGCAGCGCGGAGGCCGGGCTAGGCGCGGGGAGGGACTTAGCCGGCGACGGGCGAAAATGAATGGGGGAGCGGACGCCGGGGGCGGGGAGGGAGGAGCCAGGCGCCGGGTTTTATTCTGAGGAGTGTTTTGTACATCTTTAGGCGGAGGAGGAGGAGAAGAGAGAGGAGGAGAGAAGGGAGACCGCCTTGGAGGGAGGGGCGGCCTGGGTGGGCCGAGGCTGAGCCACCCGGGAGTTTCGTGGGGATAGGGTGGCGTGTCTCCGCGTATGAACACCCCAAGGGACCGTGTGTGTGCGCAAACCCGGCGTCGTGGTATTCTTAAGCGTGTCCGTAGCCGTGTGCGTCGCGAGTCTCCGAGTGTTTCTGGGGATGCGGGTGCTTTTATGGCCGTGTGTATCCATCCGAGTGTGGGTTTTGTCTGGGGGGGTGACCACGGGGGTCCATTTGCGTCCGCTTGTCTCTCTCTGAGTATTTGACGCTGTTTGTTTCTCTCTGTGTGTAGGCGCGAGAGAGCTCACGTAACCCTCCCAGAATGAAGCAAGTGCTTCTCTACGTAGGCACGATGTAGGAGCGAAAGCTGAGGGGACACAAAGTTCTCTGGGGACCAGCAGAGGCGGGGAAGGGGCGCGGGGACAGGGACAACAACACGCAGACAGACAGCCGAAGACTCCGCATTCAGCCTGAGATGCAGGCTGGGGTTTCTAACACGAGGCCTCTCCCTGAAGCAGAAAAGAAGGCCCTTATAGGATTAAATTCCCACACGATACATATTCTGTATGTTTGCTTACTTTGCATCCCTCGCTATTTAAACCAAATCAACGATGCCGAGTCCTAGTCCCTTGAAGATTAGGCAAGAGTAGGAAGCATTGCTGAAGCTACCAGATGGAGGGGCAGAAAGTCACAGGAAAAAGTGATGGAAAATTTTTTTTAAACCCAGATTCAGTAAAAATGCGCGCTTTTCATGCGTTGGAGTCCTGTAGCAATGTGGTCTTGGCCAAATTGCTTACCCCTTAAGCCTCAATTTCTTATCCGTTGAATATATATATATATATTTTATAACTAATAGAATAGTTATTCTATTACCTATTAGATAGAACAGGTAATAGAATTACCCTATTCTAATAGGGTTGGTTTGGTATGGCGTTCGAATGAGTTAGTGTGTGTAAAAACACTTAGAATGCTTCCTGGCACCTAGTGAGTGTGCAATACCTGTTATCTGCTATTATGATTGCTATTGTAATTAAGGTTTTTGTTATCCAAAGGGTGACAGGAGAGAGATGTGACCACCAAAGAAGCCTAGAAGGATCTAGGAGCCAGTGAACTAATTGAAGGAAGAGGATTCTTGAAACAAAATGGAAGAGAAATACTTGAGTGAGGAACTAGGAACTTGAGAAAATTTATTTAATTCACCAAGAGAGAGGGAGAAAGAGATGAGAAGAGATAGAGCTACCCAGAATCATCCCGGGCCTCAGAAGCGCAGGGCAACGGAGAGGAGGAAGAGAGGGCAGCAGCAGTCAGTTCAGAGCTTCTCTACTTCTGCACTCTAGTCCAAATGAGGGGAAATCAGCACCACGGACAGCTCACCAGCCACTGGCCAAGCCAGGGATTTCTCTTTCTGCCTGGTGGAAACTTCTTCCTTTTTGCTTGGACAACTTTCTCCTTCCTTTGGTTTCTGGCCTAGGTTCAGATCCTACACAGTGGTCCCCCAAGGCAATTCTGACTTTGATTCTGACCACGAAGAAATACACTTACCACACATGCTGCTTATACCATCCACTGCAGTATGAAGACCCAAGTCCCTATTTCCTACCCCTTTCTCCTTTCTTTTCTCTCCCTCTCTTTCTCTCTCTGTCCATACCTCCTCCCTTTCTCTTTGTTTCTTCCTCATTCTCAAGCTCAGATCTGCTTCCTTGTGTGATGGCAGGCAAAAGCAGCCTTGCTAATAATGCAATTCTGAAATCAATGTAAGACAACCTAGTCAGGTACTTCAGATGAGGACCAAGGTACAGACTGATTCCTCTTAGCTCTTTCCTTGTAATCATCCTCTCAAGGTAGGTTGTTGGTCCAGATGCCTGAGAAAGAAGGTAATTAATGCTTTGGAACATTTTTCTGTCTTCTTCTTCTCCACCTCACAGAGTCAATATTTCCCTCTGGAAACATAGAACCTTTCCTAGTTGCAACCACTGTTACACAGAAAAAAAAAAAGGAGAGAGAATTTTTGAACTTTCACCGTACACCAAGCATTTCATTTGTATGCTCTCTATATTAATGCTTATAATTCTCAAAATGCTTTGAGGTATGAGATAAATAATACTATCTCATTTTTTCATAATAGGAAATTGGACCTTGAAAAACTTGAGTAGCATGCCGATGTATAGCCAGTTGGTGATGGAGCCAGGAATTCCACACTCAAGTCCATCTCCAAAATCTTTTTTCTGTTCTCTAGGAATAATAAAGAATCCCTGGGGTGACTGGAAGATCTTGGAATTTAATGGGACTACTGCACCCAAACCTAAACCTCAACTTAAATGTCTGGGATCATTACATTGTCTGTGCCAATGGAGGATTTAGTAGCTCTTGTCCCTGGAGGAGGAAGTGAAGGCTTTGCATGGATAGATTTAATGCTCACTTGAGCCTTATGGTTTCTGAGTTTTGAATAAAACTCCAACCTTTCCAGGTCTTAGATCATTTGCATTTGGCTCTGTTTAGCTTCACTGTTTCTATGAAGAAAGACTAAGAGGGCCATTTTAAAATGTCTCCAAAGACTCCTTGGTCATCTGAAAAGTTCTCAATGCAAAGCACTTCTAATGACTTATGGAGAGTGCTGTCAAAACCATATGGATAACATTTCTGCAGAAATACACACGGGTGGGAAAAGGTTTAGAGGCCAAAAATATATTTCTTTTTTTTTTTTTCTTCTTTGCCAAAGAAAGAACATTTAAGGCAGCTTGAGATATGTGAGAAATGTCTTGTTCTTTCTTTGGGGTGGGTGTTGGTGAGCAGCTGTTTGCTATTTCCACTGAATTTACTAAGGGCTTCCTTGGGGAGGAGTTGCCAACAACTTAGAGTAGACTTAAGAAAGAACTTCCTGTCTGTATATCTTGGGGTGATACTATAATAGGACCTTTTCCCAAGGGCATTTAACAACAAAATGAGATGCTTCACACCATCCCATTTATGGTATGATAGATTTGTTAAACAATGGATGATACTTTTAGGGTCATAGAACATTTTAAGTGTCTCACAATTGCTAAAGACCCTCAGTGTTATGAAAAAATGTACTTACAAAAATGTCCACAAAAGTTTGAATGGAATCTCACTGAATCTCTCTTTCCCAACCTCATTCATGGATGTTTATCCTCAGACCCCAGTCTCTAGAGTAGATGACTTTTCTGGTCTCCAGCCTGACCTTAGATTTTATAGGTTGCTCCATTTAGATTTAAGCTTAAGATATTGGAAAGGGAAAGCCAACAGGGAAATCAATAAGCAGGTAAGCAGCCTTTTTTTCTAGAAATAGATAAGAAATATAGATAAATGTTCAGTGATGAAATGGAGATTCCACTTCCCCCTCCTTAAATAAAGACAAGATTTTTCCCTGTTTGTGCAGGACTCTGAGCCACCTGCTGCTACCTCAAAAGCTTAAATTCACTACTCCTGTCAAATCTCTAAGGAGTTAGAATCCCTTAATCTGGGGTGCTTTGGGTTCAGAACAGGATGAACAAGTGCAGAACGAAGCCTACATTTCTTAAGTGTGTGATGACTGTGAGGTGGCGTGAAAGATTCAGAGACAAATATTTTCTCTGATCTCTGTCTTGTAGGAGTCAGAAGGCCATTGCAAAGCCATATCCATGCCTAAATAATCATAATGCACCATAGAATGTAGCAAACATGTCCAGGGTCTATAGGAAATCCTGCAAAAGCTAAGAGCGGATAAAGTTTGCCTCCATATGAGGTATAACATTTTGCACCTATGAAGAGCTATTTTTATTTGGTTTTAAAAGCAGCTGAATTAATAAGAATGAACATTTATTTATGTGCAAGCAACATTCAAATCTTCCATGCCTCTCATCTATGTTATAATAAACATCTCCTCACTGAATAAAAATGCTAAGTTATTTAGTCTCTCTTTCTCTCTCTCTCTCTCTCTCTCTCTCTCTCTCTCTCTCTCTCTCTCTCTCTCTCTCTCCTCAACCCACTACTTGCCCATCCCATCCCAAACCTGCTAGATCACTATGCCTAAAACATAATTCTCTTCTATCATTCTGCTTGTCTAAAACCTGGCAGAATGTTAACTGCATACCCAAGTCAGCCCAGACTTCAATGTCCTCCATCATCTGGCTCCTGTGCTCTTTACAATTTTATACCTAGTTATCACACTATATTTTCTCCACCAGCACAAATGAACTGCTCACTGGTTTTTGGTTTCCAGCTTCCCTCTCTCCATGTCCTAACTGATGTGTGTCCCTTTATTGCCATATGTTTTTCTCCCCAGCAACCCTTCATTTCTGCATGACCAAATCTGACCTCTCCTTAAATATTTAGTTCACATGCCATCTCCTGTCCCACTTCAGTTAGGATAAGACACATGTTAACATGAAGTGTACAAGACTGTGCATAACCTGGCCCTAACTTTCTCTCTAACATCATGTCCCTCCAGCCACTCCAACCACACTGGCTGCATTCTATTTACAAGAGTTTACCAAGTTCATTTCTACCTCTAGGCCTTGGTGCTGGCTTTCCACTTCTAATCAAGTCCTGCTTACCCTTTAATTATCAGTGTAAATGTCACTTCTCTGCCCCCCATACCAATGCTATCATCTCTCTCACAACCCTTACTATCCCCTTCACATGTATCATCATTGCAAATTAAATGATTATTGTGACATTATTTGTTCAATATATGAGGAAACATAAAAGATATCTTCATGAAGAGAGCTTGGTACATAAAGATACAGTGAACATGTGTTAACTATGCCCTAAGTCCCAGGAACTACTCTGTGTGCTTCACAA